AAGACCATCGGAAAACAAAAAGATATTTATATTACGACTCATAACAGTAGCAAAATTATAGTTATAGAGTAGCAACGAAAATAATTTTATGATTGGGGGTCACCACAACACGAGGAACTGCATTAAGGGGTCGCGGCATTAGGAAGGTTGAGAACTGCTTTATTCCATGGTTTGTCATGATTTTCTCCAGTTGTCTCCAATCTAGGTACTTAAATCTAGAGATAGAATCTTTTTTGAGTATTATTTTTTTAAATTATAGCTTTATTGAGATAAAACTCCCCTTTTTAAAAGTATACAATTCATTGGTTTTTAGTATATTCACAGAGTTGTGCAGCTATCACCACTGTCTAATTTTAGAGCATTTTTATTACTCAAAATGGGAACCCATTGGCAATCACTCCCCGTTCCTCCCTCTAGTCTACTTGGCAACCCCTAATCTACTTTCTGTCTCTATGAATTTGCCTAAGAGATAAATTCTTTTAAAAATTTTATTCACTGGACATTTATTTAACGTCCATAAACATGAACATGACTCTTCCAGAAATAGACATAATCACTATTATTTTTACATTAATAAAATCATCCATATATAATTGACCTAGGAACTTCTCTTTTTATTTATTAGATTTTAAAAATTATCTTGGGTTTAGTAAACAGAACAGCTTTCATGATAGTGTTGAGCTAATTTAAAATCTAGACATGCGCGCACCCTTAATCACTTCCATTATGCCTTCTGTTTTTCATTTTCACAGAGCTAGGTCAGTAAGTAGCCGATACAGCAGTAGGTCACTTAAGGGAGCTTTGTTTTATCTTGGTGACAGCTGGACTTACAATCCAGCTTTCCTCCCATTAAGTCTCCTTCTCTGTCCTTTATTGTCACACACGCTTTCCGTATGTACCAAAAGCTTTGGGAAGAAGTTGGTAGGAAGTGTGGATCACTGTTCATTATTTCCTTGTTCTCTCCCCCTTTTTGTAACCAAACATAAATTCACAAGTTTAAACTTTTTATTGTATGAATGCTGAAATGATAAAAAAGTCTAAGAGAGAAGAAAGAAAAATTTAAAAAGTTTCAGTTTTATGTCTAATAACAAATGTAAATACCCCATATTTTACAGTGAAATAATTTATGTAAAGTAGAACATAAATTCTGTGCAGCATATTTAGCTTGAGCACTTTATGTATTTAAATAGCTCTTCTCAAAATGCTAAACAAGAATTAGTGGTCTTAAGATATAAAAGTGCTTTAAGGAACTCGGAGGAAAAGTGGTAAAAGAAAGAAAGACACTGATAAAGTTTTGTTGTTTGTATTTTAAATTTTGTGGTATAAATATGGACAGTAAAGCACACCATTCTTAAATGTACAACTTGATGAATTTTCATATCTATGTATATGTAGTAATCACCACACAGATAACTTAAGGAGTATCTCAATACCCAGAAGGCTCCTTTGTACACCATGTTTGTCAGTTACGGCCCTCCAGGAGGTAATCATTATTCTGACTTATGTCACCATAAATTCGTGCATATAAATGTAACCTAACAATAGTCTCTCGTGTCTGGCTTCTTTTGCTCATAATTACATCTGTAAGATTCATTCATTTTGTATATAGCAGTAGATTTTTTTGCTCTGTAGTATTCCATTATATAAATAAGGCACAATCTATCATTCACCTGTTCAGGGAGATTAGGGTTATTTACAATTTTTTACTATTATGCCTCAAGCTGCTAAGAACATTTTTATACTTGTCTTTTGGTGAATATAGGCACTCATTTTGGGGGGCCATAAAGTTTTATGGTATTATAAAAGTTCAGAACTTTTTAATTAAAATAGCCAGAATGCGGGCCAGCCGAGTGGCTCAGTTAGTTAACAGCGCGAGCTCTGAGCAACAGGGTCACCAATTCAATTCCCACGGGCCAGTAAGCTGCACCAGAGCTGAGCTGCCACTGAGCTGCCAACAGGTGGCAGGATGGCTCAGCTGGTGAGAGCTCATGCTCCTAACAACAAGGTTGCCTTTTTTGACTCCCGCATGGGATGGTGGGCTACACCCACCGGCAACCTAGATTGAACACGGCACCTTGCGATGAGTGGCAGCTGGACTTGGAGTTGAGCTAGCTTCGCCGTCCTCAACTAAGACTAAAGGACAACAACGTGACTGTTCCCCTTCCCCAATTTCCCAATAAAATCTTAAAAAAAAAAACACACACAAAAAAACCAGCCAGAATGCCAAGCCTGCCTCCCAAGAAATTTTAAATTCACCTAAATGGATATATACCTCTTTGATTTTATAATAGAAACTGGAGGGAAATAACATTGACTTCACAGTCAGTTTAGGGTGATGTCACGGGCCCATTGTGCAGTGGCAGGAGTGATGGGTACTGTACATTCAGTGGACAACAAGGCACCATGCTAGGGGCTGGAGATACAAGGAGTGACAATTAAGTTCATGAACTTGTGCAACAATGTTGCTAACCTTTTTTGATATCAGTGATTATTCATTATGAATTTGTACCAACTGAACAAACAGCTAACCAAGTTTACTATTTGGAAGTGCTGAAGAGGGTGCATGAAAAAGTTAGACAACCTGAACTTTTCGCCAGCAATTCATGACTTTTGCATCACGACAATGCACCAGCTCACACGGCACTGTCTGTGAGGCAGTTTTTTTTAGCCAGTAAACAAATAACTGTATTGGAACACCCTCCCTGCTCACCTGATCTGGCCCCCAAGGACTTCTTTATTTACCCAAAGATAAAGGAAATATTGAAAGGAAGACATTTTGATGTCACTCAGGGCAGCAAGGGTAATAACAAATGACAGCTCTGATGGCCATTCCAGAAAGAGAGTTCCAAAATTGCTTTAAAGGGTGGACTAGGTGCTGGCATCAGTGCATAGCTTCCTAAGGGGAGTACTTCGAAGGTGACTGTAGTGCTCTTCGGCAATGAGGTATGTAGCCCTTTTTCTAGGATGTGAGTTCTCGAACTTAATTGTCTTCGTATAGTCACATGCCCTGCCTTCACCAACCAGTGAGCACGTCATTGGCACATAATTTGCAGAGTGCAGTGATAAGGAAATGAGAATATGGGGCACGACTTTGGATGGCTAAACCTGGGTAGTCAGTGGAGGCACCTTGGAGAAAGTGGCATCTAAACTGGGTCCTGGAGATTTAATCAAGGTGAGCCAGGTGCAGGAGTGGGGTGGGTGCTGAGACGAGCAGGGCAGTGGAAGTCTTTAAGGAAGTCTTTCAGACTGAGAGTGGGGAAATCGGAAGTGGCCGGGTCACAGGGACTTGATTATAAAGGACCTTTTGGCAATATCGGGGACGTTTGACATCCTCTTTGGGTCAGAAGGGAGTTGCTGATATTGCCTTTATCACTGAAAACTTCAAACATGGGTAGAGAATAGTAGCATGAACCCTCATAAACACACCCCACTGTCCAGCAATTACCAGCTCAGGGCCAAGTTTGTTGAGGCCACTTCCTTCATCCCCAGTGCATTGTTTTCTAGCAAATGTGAGATACCACATCATCACTGAAGATTTTTAGCAGGAGAGTGACATGATCAGCTTTGCACTTCAGAAACCACGCATTCCTAGTAATTTTAGAGTTTATTTAAAACACACACACTGCACCTTGGGCACTCATTGGCCTCCAGTCGCACCAGACATTTGTATTTCTGTAGCACCATCTACTGTATGTAGTAATTTGCATGTTTTTCAAACAGTATGGAAGCAGGATTAAAACGTTAAAACTATTCTATGCATTTATCTTCCCACATAGATCAGCTGGTTAATTTGCATTTAAAAATGCTATCGAGCATTTTTGGCTTCTACAACTATAAAAATGTCATAATCGCTATCAAAGTTTGTTTCTAGGACTCAGCCTTCATAATAGAAAAGATACTAGCATTTGGAAAGTAGAATTAGATTTGTGGTTTTACTATGAGTATTTTTTTTTTTTACGATTTTATTGGGGATTTGGGGAGGGGAACATTGTTTTTCTAGGACCCATCAGCTCCAAGTCAAGTTGTTGTCCTTTAATCTTAGTTGTGGGCGCAAGCTCATCTCCAAGTCCAGTATCCACTTTCAATCTAGCTGTGAAGGTCAGGGGGCGTAGTCCACCATCCTATGTGGGAGTCGAACTGGCAACCTTTTTGCACACTGAGCCATGCGGCCGCCTGTTGGTAGCTCACAGCTGCTCAGCTCAATCTTAGTTGCAGGGGTCGGGGGCAGCCCCCCATCACATGCGGAAGTCGAACCAGCAACCTTGTTAAGAGCACCGCTCTCACCAGCTCAGCAGCAGTTCAGCTTGGGTGCGGCTCACTGGCCTGTGTGGGAATCGAACTGGCGATCCTGTTTCTCAGAGCTCACATGCTAACTAACTGAGCCACTCAGCTGGCCCAACTAGGAGTATTTTTTACAGATTCAAGTTGAGGAATTTACTATTCTGCTTTTGTGGCTAAAGTTTTGTTACCTCTCCACTTATTGAAATGTGTTTGCTTATTGCTCTCTGATGATGAGAATTGATATAGATTGCTTCAATTTTAAAACTATTTATAACTGTCTGAGGGCCCCTGAGTTAAAAAAAAAAATCCATCCTTGTAGCTAAGAGTGTTCGCTCCCTAAGGTGTTTTAGTTTCACCTTTTTTAAAAGTTGGTTTGGTGGATGGTACTATTGGAATCCTTTGGGATGGCACTGCATTCATGCATTCATTTTGTGAGAGTCAATAATCTAAATCAGAGGTTGGCAAACTTTGGCTGCTGAGACTGGTTCTTACATTTTTGAAGCAGTGTTTAAAAAGAAGAGGGAGAATTTGTGATAGAAACCATATGTGGTCTGCAAATTTAAAATATTTACTATCTGGCCCATTACAGTTTGTCAACCTTGATCTAAATTAATAAAACTTAAATTCTTGGCACATGGTTTTTTTCTTTTGGAAATGTTTCTGTAAGATTTGATTTAGAATTGACATTTGAAAATCAAAATTTTCATTGTCTTCTACAGAGAAGATGGTGAATTAGAAGATGGTGAAATAGATGATGCGGGATTCGAAGAAACACAAGAACAGGAAGCAAAAGAGGATGAGAAGCATAAAAGTGAGAAAGCCTACAGAAAATCAAGAAAAAAACACAAGAAAGAAAGAGAAAAGAAAAAATCCAAAAGGAGAAAACGTGAGAAACATAAGGTTAGTTGCAATCTACTTTTTATTTTTTGGGTACATTTTTATGTAATATAGTATAAAGTTAGTATAAATCATTGCCTATTTCCTTATAAGATGTATGGATTAAATCTTTTAATTTTTATGATTAATAAATTTTCTGAACGTGAAGATTATGTGAATTAGCGTGAAAATTATCTTAAAGATTTAAAAAAGTCAAGGCAGCTTTTAATGCAAATTAAAGTAATTTTTTTTTTTGGGGGGGAAATTGGGGGAAGAGGAACAGACAAGTTGCTATCCTTTTGTTCTTCAGTCTAGTTGTGGAGGATGTTGCTTCACTGGCCCAAATTGGCACCATCATTG